TCGGGTGTAAATCAGGGCTTGCTGGATGAAGAAAACTAAAACCAAATCAAACAATAAAATAGCAAAACCATTAGAGAAGTCTAGATTGCTCAGAAGCAACAGAGAAGGGGCAGGTTTTCTTTCTCTGAGAAGAGAGAGTATCATGGTATGGCCTTTTGTTTCTGGGAAGAACCCTGCTGGTCAAGTGTACAATTGGTTGGATCTTAAATAAAGCTATTTACTCTTCCCAGATTACATAATTTCTTAATGCCCCTCCAGCCCTCCTGCAGCAGCCAGGCCAACCCCTCTCCTTCAACCAGGCTTCAAAAGGTACCAGGTTAGCTGTCTCCCAGTAATGTTGGGGGCATCACTCTTGTCTTGAGTATGTGGAGGTTTTCTTTGCTCTGACCTAAAACTGTCTGCACCAATTTACTCTTAATTATTTTTACAGATTCTATTCCTGGGCCACTGCTTAATAAAACTCTAGGGGTTTTCTTTTCTTTCTTTTTTGCTTCAGTATAATAAGATCAGTTGTATCAGACCCAGGTGGAATCATCTACTAAACTGAGGGTCTGAAGGGTACCCACTGTGCTCCTACATGTCTGTGTGTGTCCTCCATTCTCTTTCAGACAAAGAATTTAAGTATAAGAGAGTCAACTCTGTTCAGAACCTAGGCTAAAGGTAAATCCACACCCTTTCATTAAAAATAAAGGAAAGGGCAAGGAAGGAAGGAAGGAAAGAAGGAAGAAAGAAAGGAAGGAAGGAAGGAAGGAAGGAACGAAGGAAGGAAGGAAGGAAGGAAGGAAGGAAGAAGCCATTCTTCCCATAGAGGTGTGGACTGTTCTTGCCTGTACCAGGACCTCCCGCTGTATCTTAATATGGCTAAGGAGAGTGGGGCCCCCTTGATTTTTTTTGACTAAAGATGGCTGTCCTTTGAAAAGCAGCTCCTTATGACTCAGAAAAAAAATACTTCCTAAGTAGCCATGGAGCCAGAAAGTGAGCCATCCAAGAATAAAAAGTACCTTGGGGGAATATTCCAGAATAAATGTTTATAGGAACCAGACTGGCAGAGAAGACGTGGGGCTTTATGTGATCTTGACATGGTGTTGCCCACCTACAGAGGTGTTCTTTTGGCTAGGAGGGCCTGGTTAAACCCTTTCCAGCATGCTCCTGAGTCAAACTAACTAAAGGTATAGATTCCCTCCCCAGGATGGTGAGATCAAATGCATACCCCCACAACCTCATGAATTAATTTCTGGAGTTTCTCTGGATTCGCTGGACTCTAAGATAAGCACTTGTATGGTGGAGTGGGCTAAGAAGGGCATCACCAAGATGGGTAGGGCAGACCTTGGGAGCTCTAATGCTAGAGTAGGCAGCTTTTCAGGAGGCCTGGCTAATGAGGTATGTGGCTCGTCTGATAGGAACCATGGAGCTCAAGAGGAAATTAAACCACCCAGCAAAGTATGCATTTCCGCCCCCCCAATAATGAGAGTGCCAAGAGAGGAACAGCATGGATCTGCGTTATTCCACCCCACATCTCATTTTGCAAGGTCTGCTGTTGCTAAAAATGATGCTATTCTCTTAAGATACAGGCAAGGCTTGATGAGGAAGGATAAGCGTAACTGGAGCGCCAGGCTGCAGGATGTCCTTGACCCAGGCAGTGTGGAGCGTTTGAGCCCTGATTAGTAAATCAAGAGAGACAGAAGCATGGTTGTGCCGGAGATGTCTTTTAAGCGTGGAAGAGCTGTCACCCACATCGTAACTGTAGTGGAAAATAAGTGATACCTTTGATGGAGTGAACAGCAGATGGGGTAAATACATGAGGGACAGGGAGAGTTTCTCATGAAGTTCTTGGAAGGCAAAAAGGAAGAAGATTGGTGGTTTCCCTGGGGAGGGAGAGAAGAGGAATGTGTGGTGGAATAGAAAATAGCAAAGGAAAGGCCTTGGGCATTGGGAGGGAGGTTTAGGAACACTGCCAGGAGCCAGGGCTTAAGGGTAGAGGAATAGGTGGAGAATTTTAGGCAGAGGGTAAAGTTTGTATGTGTGGAGGGGCAGCTTTCCTGGACAGGAAGGAGAGATGACGTTGGAGAGAAAAGTTGGAGCTGTGTTTGGTTCCTTCTTTATACTGTCGTCAACATTTAACAGGAAGAATCTAAGGAAAGAAGGATGAATGTTGGCTCCTGGTTTTATCAGTCCGTCAACTAGAGCTGCAGGGTGGATGGAGCCCAGCAGCTCACATCACAGCAGGCAGGAAGCAGAAAGAGCATACAGGAAGGAATGGAGATAAAATATAGCTCCCAGGAACCCCAGTGACTGATGTCCTCCAAGCTTCACTTCTGACCCTTTACCACCTCCCCATAATGGCACAGTATCATGACTCCATTAAGGGACAAAGCCACGTATTAAGTCAGAGCCTTCATTCTAGTTTCATTTCTGTTCCTGTGATAACAAAGAAACCTGGAAAAACAAAAACAAACAAACAAACAAACAAACAAAAAACAAAAGTCTTCAGGCAGAAGTTCATTTTAGTTCCCAATTCCAGGCCACTGCCCATCATGTGGGAAAGCCAAGGCCAGAATTTGAAGCACCTAGTCACATCATATCCACAGTGAAGAACACAGAGAAATGAATTCCTCCTTTCCTACCACTCAGCTCACTCTCCAGTTTTATACAGTTCAGGACCCACCCTAGGGAATGGTGCCACCCACAGTAGGCTGAGTCTTCTCCACCCAAATAAGGCATTTGAGGCAAACCCGCCCCCCAGACATGTCCATGGGCCAGCCTTATCTGGACAATCCCTCATTTTGACTCCCTTCCCAGGTGCTTCTAGGTTATATCACGTTGACAATTAAAACTATTGGTCATGCTACTAAAACACTCCTGCTGCTATGCCTTCTCCACCTCTAAGCCTGACTGTGAGGGAGGTTTTAGGTAGGTTCCTTCAGCTGGAAACAACCGTCCTGAACGTGAGCTGAGCACCATTGATCATCTCTCTCTACTTTCAGACTGTGGATGCAACTGGCCAGCCGCCTTCTGCTGCTCCTGCCATGCCTTCCCCATTGCGATGGAATATGCCAGCAAAGTGTGATTAAAATAGTCCCCCTTTGCCTGAGGTTGCTCTTGTTAGGTATTTTGGCACAGCAGTGAAAATAGTAACTAAGACACCAGGGAAGGGCTAACAGAGGGAGGGAAAAACCAGAGCAGTCCCAGAACTGGGGGTGTAAGAGAAGGTCTCATAGGAAAAAGGAGAAGAAACTGGTAGGGAAGGAGGATGGTGGTTGGAGCTGGATGTGGCTGAACACAGCGTTTCTGGCATTGCAGAGCAGGCCAGTGAAGGCCAGAGGAGTTTGGAGATAATTTCACTACAGCACCAATATTCCTAATAAGCTAGTTCCTTGAGGTGGGTCAGAGACTCCAAGGAAGGAGGCTCTGACAGGAAAGAGGGGTTACAGTGACAATGTTACATGAGGTAGGACAGGCTGATCGGTTGCAAATATCTTCCAAAATAAAAGCAGTGTGTTAGTTATGGCTCCTCAATGGAAGGTAAGCAAGTGTGTGTGTGTGTGTGTGTGTGTGTGTGTGTGTGTGTGTGTGTGTGTGTTTCCTTCTGTCAAATCATAGACCACAGAGTGAGACAGAGAGAGCTCTATCTTTCCTTCTTGCCTGAAAGGACTAGAGGCTGTTAAGATAAGAGAGCAGCACTGGGGAAGTGGCTCAGTTGGTAGAGTACTTGCCTAGCATGCACAAAGTCCCAGGTTCCATTCCCAGCACTACACAAACTGAGTGTGACGGTGCACACCTGTATGTAATCATAGCACTTGAGAGGTAGAGGCAGGAAGATCAAAAATTCAAGGTCAACTTTAACCAAAGATTTAAGT